TGTGTGTGTGTGTGTGTGTGTGTGTGTGTGTGTGTGTGTGTGTGTGTGTGTGTTTCCAACCCTCTCCGCCCAACCTCCTTCCCTCCCCTCCTGTTTGCCGATGTCTCCCCATTCTTTTGTCCTCCTCCAGCTAGTTAATCATAGGAGGGAGAGCGTAATGAAAACCTCATATCATATTTGACTCAAACCAACACCATCAACAAGACCATAAAGAACAAAGAAGAAGAAGAAGAAGAAGAAGAAGAAGAAGAAGTAAGAGGAGAACGAGAAGGAGAAGGAGAAAGAAGGAGAAGAAGAAGAAGAAAGAGAAGGAGAACAATGAGGAGGAGAAGAAGGAGAAGGAGGAGGAGGAGGAGGAGGAGGAGAAGGAGAAGGAGGAGAAGGAGAAGGAGAAGGAGAAGGAGGAGGAGGAGGAGAAAGGAGGAGGAGGAGGAGGAGGAGAGAAGAAGAAGAAGAAGAAGAAGAAGAAGAAGAAGAAGAAGAAGAAGAAGATAAGCAGACACATGCATGTGTTCTTGTCCCTGCAGCTTTTGCCCGCCGTCCTCGCATGTTGACCCTTTTCCCCACTCACATTCCCCCCCTTATTCCCTCCTGTGACTTTGAGACCTTTCCCCACTGCTTTTTCCTCCTCCTCCCTTCACCCCTGTGCCGACACTTCACCCCCTCTATCCCCTACACCTATACGTCATCCCCACTCCCATCACCTCCTCTGCCCCCTATCCCTTTCATTCTTGACATCTTCCTCACCCATAGTTTCCACCCTCTCCCCTCCTCTTGACATTTCAAAACCTTCTTTCCCCACTCCCTTTCGTGCACTTGCAACACTTTTTCCCACCCCCTTTCCATATTCTCCCCAGTCCTCTTTCCCTTCTCTGCCCCTTCTCTTCCCACCACGACTCTTTTACCACTTTCCTTTCACCCCCTCTCCCTCCAATCCCACTACTACCCTCCAATCACACTACTACTACTCCAGTTGCAACTTTTCCACTCCTCTCTTTGCTCCCCCTTCCTCCCCCTCATATCACGACTACATGCCCCCTTTTGCTATTTTCCCTTTTCCTTCTATCACTGTTCTTTACACTTTCCCCCATCCCATCTGCTCCTACCACGACTTCTTCCCTTTCCCCCCACCCCTCTTTCAAATCACGACTTCTTCCCGCCTGTCATGACCCTTCCCTCCTTCTATGCGACCCCTCCCAGTCCTATCACATCCACCTCCGCCCTTCTGCGCTCCTCCCTCCCCCTATCGCAACTACTCTCCCTCCTGCCATGACTCTTTCCCACCTTTTCCCCCTTCTCTTCCCCCAGTATCAGATACCTGAAAGGGGTCGTAATAGGAGGCAGAGGGGGAACGGAAGAAACGGTTACAATGGGGGGGGAAAGGGGAGAACTCGGAGAGGGGGGAAAGAGTTGCCATAGAGGGGGAAAGGTGGGAAGGGATCGTAATAGGAGGCAGAGGAAGAACGTGGAAAAAGGTTACAATGGGAGGGGCAAGGGGGAACTCGGAGAGGGGAAAAGGAGTTGCAATAAAGAGGGGAAAGGTGGGAATGGGAGAAGTAGTACTGTCAGGAGGGGTAACTGCAATAGGGTGGGGAGAGGGGAGTGGAGAACAGGGGAAAGAACAGTGGAAACCCCTAGTGACCACCGATGGACGACACACATCATTGTCTATCTTCATCAAGCACATGGTAGAGGCGGAGCAAAAGCATTATTCCAGTAGAGCAGAATCCATACTCTGGCGAACAGAGAAGACAGGATGAGGGACAGAGAACAGTGGTTTATTCGTCGAGGATGGAGGCAGTCAAGTTTACCAACTCAGTCATCACGGGGTAAAGCACACCCAGGCTCGACAGGTATAGGAGGCCAAAGGGAGAGCAGTGGTTCATCCCTCCCAAAGAAGGCAATCTGAGACATTTCCACAGCCTAATACTTCTGGCACATTCAATTCTAGAAGTGCAAAGCAAGATCAGGCGGCCCAAGGGGGTGAGAGGAACTGTCTATGAGAACCACATAGATGGGTAGAGGAGTGGTAAATCAACCTGTGAGAGGAGCAATCAAAGCCGCTGTCTTAGGGTCCTTCAGCCATAACGGAAGGAAGTGTGGAGTGTGTCATATATGTAAGGGACGCTGCACCTTGTTTCCAGCTTTATGGAGGTCTATAGTTCTCAAAACAAAACAAAAAGAATATATACTTTGCCATGAACAATATGAAGTTATGAACCGTGGAGAGCGAGGTTCAGGAAGCAAGCTCTCACCTCATAATCTGCCTTGTGCCGCATGTAATCACTATAACCTTCCTTAACAACATCCACAAGGAGAGCAAATGAAAGAGGCATAACCGTTGTGACCCAGCTTGTTGGGGACAGCCCCGGGATCAGCTGCAAGGTTGCAACGAGTAGGGAAAAACCTTTTGCTGTGCGGCTAAACTGCTTGAAGAGATTGATGGGAAGAAAACTTAGCAAGTTGTACTTGCTTGTCTGAACAATATTTGGTGGGCACCTGGAATAGCAATACCACAATAGCAACGAGGAATTGCAGTGTCATGTCATGTTCATGCCAAGTGAAGCCACAGTCATCTGTTCAAGGAATTTTAGTAGGTGCAATGATCTATGTCATTTCAGCCTAGAAAGAGGCCCTGAAGGTAGACAGTGGGATACACAAGCAAATAATGAATGGGCTAGGAACTAATAGAGTAGGCGCATTATTAACCAATGCATGTTTCCCATCTTGCAGCTGCTCCACATAAATCGCAACAGAAGACTGAGCATACGACCATTGGTAACACCAAGATGGACTCAAGGTCCCAGGGGCCTCCATAGTGGCTTCAAGTGGGTTAGGGGCCACTTTCTACCTGTCACTTTTGCACCTCTGCATAACAGCTTACAAACATACTATGGTAGTGATAGCTGGGATTTGACTCTTCATCTCTCGTCAATGGTCTGAAGATGAGTCAGATCACAGAACTGTGTACAGTACATGCTCCTTTTGATTGTTAACTTGACTTGTGAACGGTTATTTTCCTTCCCTGGGCTTGCTCCTGCCACCAGACATTACATCTCCTCTCTAATCCATTGCTTGCACTCTTGTTTGATACCTGGGCTTGCATATCCTCCAACCTGTCGCAGCCAAGTTTGAGGCCAACATGAGCAACACGAGGCCCCGTGGGCTGGTTGCTACAGGCAGCATCTTCAACCGACTGGTCGCCCAGTCGGTTGAAGGTGCTGGGGGCCCAGCAAGATGTTGAGGCCCAGGGCACTTACAGGTGAGCCCCAGGCACATGCTGGAAAGGCCCTGGGCGCAGCTACTGGGACAGAGGTCGCTCAGCCAGGGCCTGCCTCGCCCAGCCAGCACGAGCAAAGGGAAGTGATATTGCGTCACTTTGGACATTCTGACCGGCTGGACGCCGGCAGCGCTGCTGGAGCGCTTGCTTGCTGTAGGAGCTCCGAGCCAGGAGGAAGAAGGGTGCTCGCAGGGCGTGAGGAAGATGCTGCAGGGGTGGAGCGGCCATAGCCGGGCCGCGAGTGCCATAGCTGAGGAAGGTTGAGCAGAGTTCTTAGGCGAGGGACAGTTGAAGGGAAGTCGAGGTGTGGGCTATGTGAGGAGGCACTCACCTGGTGGCAGTAGAGTGGGCCGCGACACTCGGAGTCTTCATTCCCCATCGGGCTGCTGTACTTCAAGCATGACATGTTGTAGATAGAGGTAGAGGTCGATAAGAGACTTCTGATTGTTTTACTCTGGGCGTCGAGCGCCAAGTAAGAGAGCGACATTGTGGACATTGGTTTTGGGGGTGAGAAGAGGGCTTTCATTATCATTTGACTTCAGTACTCTACTCATACTTCATTGGTGTTATCTCGTGCTGCAATCTGCTTTCACTTCTCTGGATTTCTATGGAATGTTGCAATTTGGTTTATTGTCATTCGCATTGCTCATTTCCTAGCAAAAATATCCTCCTCAATGTTGCTTGATCACATGTTGCACAGGGGGGAGTTGTCCGGGTCCATTCTTCCCTGCAGTCATGTAAGCACTTGGTTGACAGGAAAGGCTGCATATGCAATCAGTCATTGAAAGCTGCGTACTTTTATAGGCTTGACTTTGATGCATTCCTTCCACGGAATCTCGACCAGGTGGTTGGGGGGCAGATGCAATATTTTTTGTTCACCTCTCCTGCATGACAGGAGCCGGTCTTTAGTTTTTAGCCCTAAACTGCAGCCGAAATTGACTGTGTAGTTCGATATAAGACGAGATGATTGTCAATTCCCATGCACCCATAGCCACTATTTGGAATCATATTCCCGGTATTTGATAGCCTTCAGTGTTCCGTGACTTCTCCAAGTCTCAAAAATGAGGACCCTCCCTTTCCTCAAGGTGAAGACGTCATTAACAACAGTTTCCAAGTTACATACGTTACGACCCTGACTATCTTGAAGTGCAATAACTCAAAGAAAGACAATGTCGTTCAATTGCAATTGAGATGAAAGAACTTTGAAAGAGAAATAGACAAAGAGAGAAGAAGAAATAAGAATGGAAGAAGAAGAAGAGGAAGAGGAAAATGAACACCAGCAAAGACCAATGTCAATCCCCCTTCATCTCGCCACCATCTCCAACCTCCAATTACCCCTCCTCTCTCTTCTTAAACCACCAGTACCTTTCCCAGTCATTTTGCCGAGATGCGCCGGGTAACGCGGTAGGGTCGCCGTCGATAAATCGAATCGGCGGACCGTTTTCCTTTTCGGGCCGGCGCGCAGTGCCCGCGGCCAACATATGGGAAAGGTACTAGTGGTTTAACAATTACAGTAGTGATAACAATAAAAGAATGAACCAGAACCAATGTCTGAATCCTCTCCCTACCGCCAGCCTCTCAAGAGGTCCACCATAGCTATCTCATACACCTTCCTCCTTCTTAGTCAAGTAGGTGGCCATGGGGGACCAACAGAGCGAAGCTCCGATGTTCGAAGGACAATGCAAAGCTAATGTGACCCTCCTACTATGGCTGTCATGCCTATCACTACCCCAAAGTCTACCTTGTAGAAGCCAACCCCAACTGGGGCCTTCCAGGTGCAGCGCCAACCAAGAAAATGAAGATGCAGACTACCACAGCCAGGTAAGCACCCTCATCACTGTCCTCCTTGCCCATCGTCTTCCTTCTCCTCCTCCTACTCCCCGGAGTCTCCTCCGTGGTCCTCTCCATCATAGAGAAGGTGGAGGGCCAAAGCCGCCTTCTTCCTCCCCGATGCTCTCCAAACTGAGCGCTCGCTCCTCCAGCGTGACGTCCAAACTCACACTGGCCAAATGCGGAGGAGCTCTTCCCTTACTCCCAAGAAATACCGGACTACTGCCTCTTCAGGCAGCGACTTCCCAGCCGCGCAGCCTCCCAAGCTACCGGTACCTTTCCCATTTTGGAGGGAAACATCATTGCAGTCTGATATCCCCTCCTGCAGGCTCTAGACTCAGGCTACTTGGACCGGTGCCTTCCCTTCGAAGCTTACGAGACTCCTAAATTCACTTGAGCCTTGAAAGGTACTAACTTTTTGTCTTCGTCTGCCTACCTACCCGCTACTTGAGTGCTTTCCAGCATACGAGAGCCTACCTATTTCTAAATCCCACTGCGTCCTCAAAGAAGTGCAGCCACAGGTACTTACCTGGCCCAGGGGCCTCCTCAGCACACAAGCACCCTGGTGGGTCACGCACACACCCAAGCAACCATGCAGTCAGGCAAACACATGGAAACTCAGCAATCATGTGCGCACACGTACTTTGGAATCTCAGCAGAATATGGAATATCAGCAAGTCACTCAGTCCAGGGGCAAAACTCAGTCTGCAATTTTGCAGGTCATTACAGATCTACATATTTCCTTTTTTTTTAACAGAACCTCACGGTTCTGGCTCCTACCATTCTGGGGAGCGACAGTCCGGTTCCTATTCCCCCGGCAAGTCCATATGGATTACATAAAAGACTCACACACACTCCTCCCCATTATGGCTGAGAGGCCCAGGTACGCAGCATTGATTACTTCCCTGAAGAAGGATGTACCACCTCTCACCCCTGCCTAATCTGGCCTGTACTAACTCTGCCTGCCAATCTGACTGATCCCAGAACTGCTCCTCTCAGCTATGAAGCTGTCAGTTAGCTATGATTATGCAAGAGCATTTTGGAACACTTATGCGCCTTTTGAAGCCTCTATAACTCTCTAACAGCATTTGCCTTGTTTCTGTCTAAGCCTTAAACCCTAAACCCTTGGTCTTAATGCTGTCCTGATTTATCTGTTCCAAGATGTCCAGTTAGAAATTACCTCTCCTATACCCTAAAACTCTCCCTGTTTTCACCCGACTATAACCCTTAACCCCTAAATCCTTCCTTCGACTCTTAACCCTGATTCCCTTTTTTTTTTTTTTTTTTAAACTTCTACAGCCCAGGTATACCATTTCCTCTCAGGTCCATTTCCGGAACCTGCCAGCGATAACTTGAAAAGCTAGAAGGGCCCACAACTTTTTCTACCCCTCCCCCTCCTCATCTTCCCAAAAATCAACTTGTTATCTTTGCGTCAGACCAGACTCTGCATCCCCTGTTGTGGTCCCCCATTAATCATCTCCCGCCTACTGCTTTTACCTTCTGACTAATAGCCCTAACAACCTAACCCGTAAGCGCAGCTTCGATGCGTGAAGCTCATAACTCCTAAACTCTTGCCTTTTTCCTTAAATCCTAAACCCTTGATTCATATTCCTTTGCACCCTTCTACGTCCCTCTCCATTCGAACATTAAATTACTTCCACTTATGGTTGCCACTGCTCCCTGACCCAAAATATTATGATTAAAGCGTTTCTTTATCTCTTCCCCTTGCTCTGGTCGGAAATGTATTTGCTTCCTTACTGCTTTCCACTGAGCCCTCAGATCCGTTTCAAGCAGTGTGAGGAATATCTCCCTTGCTTCGTGCTTGTGCATTGGCCGACCTTCAATCGTAATTTGGCACCGACGCTTCCAAATGGTCCAAAGACAATATTGACGTATCAATTTATACATATGCTTCTCAAAAGTCTGCCAATGTTTCGAAATTTGGAGACGGATCCACTTCCAAATTTTCCAGTGGTACCAATGGATTGAATATTGTGAATTCATCTGTCTCCACCACCCTGACCTTCCGCAAGTACTGTTTGAGAATGATGATCGGTACTTTGGATGCCATGTCCAAGAGAGAAGTATTGTTGGGAGGGTGGAGTATGTCATACTTATCTGCATGAAGCCAATCCGGCCTAGAGGTATCTTGGTTCCAGACCCTGAAGACTTCCTTGGGTTCGTTGTCGTCATTCCATGTGGCCCAGTCACCCTGACCCCACCGTTTACCCTGCTGTAGCAGTTGCACCCATCCTTGCGGTATAGCTCCCAATACGATCTCACGGTTGTCAGATAGTATGTGGCATCCTTTTAAGTGTGCCCTCAGTTCTTCGACTGTTTTCCATCTATTTTCCTTTTCTTCCCAGATGTGCTTTACCTGCCACACCCYGTGCTCTAGCCACTTTCCCCACTTTGCATCCTTCACCGACAGTGTTAGYGGYTTCCCTTGCCCGTCCTTAATGCTCGGGTTGCAGAATAAAGGTTGTCTAATTACTTCTTCTCTCGTGTTAGGCTCCTTGACTTTCGCCGGAAAGATATCTTTCCATAACTTCAGCAATTCTCCCCAATAGGATGTCCTTCTAGCCTCTTCCTCCGCCTCCTCATTACCCCTTTCGCTTCTGCCCACCCTAGCCCAATCGCTGCACATTACCCAAAACAAACCCGACATATTCTAAGGCGTTTTATATTTGGCCATTTGTCTTATCTTATGCAGAACTAGAGGGGTCCATGATAACTTGTGTTGGGATATTAACCTAGCTACCCACTTGGTTTGTAGCGCCTTGAGTTGGGTATCCGGGTCTAGAATCCCCAACCCTCCCTGATGCTTTGGTCTAGTGACATATTTCCAAGCCACTTTGGATATGAAGCTTGAATTGGAAACTTTGGTTGTCCATAGATACCCCGTCGCTCTTCTTCTCAATAATGTCGCCGTAGTTCGTGGTGGTGTCCATATTGACCCTGCATACCATAGCATGGAGAATATGGACGCGTTGAGCATAAGGGCTCTCCCATAAACGGATGTGTACACTGCCGACCAAGACCCCAGCTTAGCTAGAATTTTTGTCATTATGTCTGCTGCCATCGACTGATGTGTCCCTACCTCAGTAATCTTAATCCCTAAATATCTAATAGGAACTCGCGTCGTTGTCCATTTCAACCCCTCCGGACTGTTAATCGGGAGGCTGTCTTCTTGGCCGTGATCTACTCACCACCATCCCTCTGTTTTCTGCCAATTGATCCTCATTTCCGATGCAAGCTGGAAGGTCTCCATGGCTTTTGTTAATGCTTGAAACGATGAGTCCGATGCCCTAATGAGCACCGTCAGATCATCTGCAAACAGGAGAGCTGTAGGAAGATGAATAATGTGTCCCTGCTGATCCGGTACTGCTACAAGCCTTGTGATTGATGGATCCCTACGTAAGAAGGATGCCACCGCTTCCATTATGAACAAAAATATCGGGGCGGTTAGGGGGTCTCCCTGCCTAACCGACCTCGACATCCTGTAAGTCGAGGATAAATGTCCATTAACATGCACTTGCCCTTATGCGTCATTGTAGAGGACTCTTACCCATTTCCTGAAGTTCGGACCTACTCCCATCTTTTCCATGCATTGTTGTAGGAATGGCCAGCTGACTTGGTCGTACGCCTTTTCAAAGTCGAAGAACAAAATAGCGGCATTAATCCTCTTATCCCGGATGTATCGTACCGTTTCCGTGAGCGTCATCACATTGTCTAAGATGAACCTTCTCGGTATAAACCATGTCTGATCTATATGGAAACAACTCTCTGTAATTGTCGTGAGTCTATTCGCTAACACCTTAGCGACTATCTTATGCGTCAAAGTCAGCAATGTTATCGGCCTATAATTGCGAATATCCCGATGGATTTCCTTTCTTGTAGAGTAGCGTGACTATTCTTGTTGTCGAGTCTTGACCCAGTCCCTCCACCTGCCACGCCTGCTCAAGAAATGCCAAATATTCGTCGCCCAAAATTGGCCAAAATTCCAGCCAAAATTCTCTAGTTAGTCCGTCTTTTCCCGGGGTTTTGTTTGGAGCCATAGACTTTAATGCTTCCCATAGCTCCTCCTTCGTCAGAGGGGCATCCAGTTTTGCGGCCTGATACTGTGAGATTGTGGGCTGGAGGTAGGTCAGAAACTTGACACGCGCTTCTTGCACCTGTTGTTTTGGGTACTCATCCTCTCTTGTTGTGTATAGGTTACTATAGAAATCCACGGCCACTTGAAGCATCTCGTCCTTGTCAGAAGTTAGACCGTTTGGTCCCTGAAACTGGGCAATGAGATTGTTCCTTCCTCGGGACTTAATTTTTTGGAAAAAGAATTTGGTCATTCTTTCCCCTTCCTCCCATTCCCTGACCCTGCCCTCATTTTTCCTATTCTTGGCAATTGCCCCATTTCACCAAATACGGAGTAAACTTCAGTGGGTACTCACCTTTCCCTGTTCTTTTGATAAAGCAAAAGACTCAAGTGGGTATCTGATCAATAATAGGAATCTCCCAATCCCCGGATTTCCAAGTAAAGACCTCCTTTAGGAGTCAAAACTGTTGAATCCATGACAAGGGAATACTCTCTACGTTTGAGGAAAGGTTAGTGGCTTTTCCAGAATCCCTTCTTTTCCCAAGATAGCCACTTAAGAGTCTTTAGCATACAGGGACCATGGTGAAAGGATTCATGTCCCACCACAGTACGGCCCCAGTACAGTGTCTAACTTTCTTTGTACTATAGGGCTGCTGTAGAACCTTCCGATAGGAACAGTGCAGTCCAAAATAGAGATCCGATGGGATAAGAGCGGTAGGAACAGTAGAATTCCCTAGTAGCAGTAGGTACGGAGTTGCCGTGTGTGCAGTCCCGGCCAGTTGCAGATCAGTCCCAGGGCTTTCCAGGGCACCAAGATCTTGGAAGTATGAACAGTGCCTCGAGAGATAGTAGTCCACGGTGCTGGGTGCCATGGTCGTAATCTAGCAGAGAGGGAGAGGGAGAGCAGTGAGGACATTCAGAGAGAGACTGCAGGACCTGCATGCAGTAGTTGGGAGTAGTCAGAGAGAGAGAGAGGACCTGTGCCCAGTAGTTGGTAGTAGCAAGAGAGACAGAGATACCTGCCTGTAGTTGTTGCTGCTGGCGGCCATAGCTGCAGACCTTGAGAAATTATTGTACATCATTTCAAGTTGTATTTAAGTTCTGTGTGTGCTCATATTGTGTGGATCTTGCTAGAGCGACGGGGATAATCAATCTGATGCACAACATAGAGTTTGAAGCAATAAAGGCAGGCGATCAAGATCTTGATCCGGACAAGCAGGATCATCTCGCTGGGAAACCATGCTTATTTAGTATTTAGTATTTACCCACGTATTTGTTACAAACTAGCGATTGTCGCAGGACATCCTCTTTCGTTCTTGGTGGATGTGTTTTCAAGGGCATTAAAGACCTCCATGATGTGAGTATTGAAGCCAGTAGGGCTTAGGGATGGGATTGCGAGCCACGGTTGGAGGGATGATAGAAACTCTCCTAGTCCTTTTAGCTCGGCCTGTTCTGATTGTCCGTTCTTTTGCCATGACCCAGGAAGTTCCATGGATGTTGTCCGAAGTCTTTACACAGGCTAGTTTGCGGATACTATCGAGTGTCATTTGCATCCATGGGTGGAACTGCGATGCAGGATCTTAACTATCTGCTTCATTTGCAAAGCTAGGGCTTCCAGTTTGGGGTCCAAGAGCCCCAGGCCGCCTTCCTCAGGTCTTCTTGCAATATAATGCCAAGCCACTTTGCTAATGCAGGAGTGTCTGTTGGGGTCGCCTGACCATACAAAGCATATGAGTTTCTTGTTGAGCTGTTTTAGGGCCTCGTCCGATGGCGACCAAATAGAGGCCATATATCAGAGGGTAGAAAAGACAGATGTATCACTAATTGTCACTTGCCCTAGGAGCAAAGCTTTTACCTTTCACCTTTCTGCATGGTGAGAGTCTCAAGATTGCTTTTTGGCCACCAAACTCTGGCCCATCTTGAGCCAGATGGCATCCTTGTTGATCATGATGCACAGGTAGCGTACAGCCCCATCTCCTGTGGTCCAAGTAAGTTGATCTATGGTGTTTTCCGGTTGGATGGGGGGGATACTCAGCCAGCCACCATCCTATCTTAGTCCCCAGTTGACTTTGATTTCTCATGCTAGTCTGAAGGCTTCCATTGCCCTCAGTATTGCTTGGAAGGAGAAGGTGCGGATAAGGACTGTCAGCAAACATTAGGGTTGTTAGGAGGTTGTCGTTGTGCAGTGAGTCTGTCTGGAGAACAGTCAACCTGTCAATCGAGGGGTCTTTCCTCAAGGAAGACGCGATTGCCTCCATGATGAACAGACCTATCAACCGAGAGTCAGCTATAATATTCTGTTACCCAAAGTTTGGCTAGTATCTGATAAGGGACTGTCAGTAAAGCGATCGGTCTGTAGTTCTTCAGGTCTTCATGATCATCCTTTCTTGTACAAGAGAAACGATGCAAGTGCTAAGGGAACTGAAATACCAAATACCCATGAGGAATTGAAATAGGTCTTCCCACAGAACAGGCCAGAAATTTCATTTTTTTTTCATCGATTTGGGGGGTTCAACCCCGGGGGTGTCACTGGCTACCCCTGGACCCCCCGGACCCCTGCCGGGCCCAAGAAAGCAGTTAGCCTCCAAGAGTGTCGTCTAACCTCTTCCCCAAATACCAATGAGGAATTGAAATAGGTCTTCCCACAGAAGAGGCCAGAAATTTCATTTTTCTTTCATCGATTTGGGGGGTTCAACCCCGGGGGTGTCGCTGGCTACCCCTGGACCCCCCGGACCCCCCGGACCCCTGCCGGGCCCAAGAAAGCAGTAAGCCTCCGAGAGTGGGATGGCTAGATGCAGAACGGGGGAGATGGCTAGATGACGAACAGGAAGAAAACTTGTAAGGAAAAGAGGTCACCATCAGCATCATACTCGTTATTGTGATCACCACCAGCACCACTATGAATGACAGCAAGGGCATCACAGAAACACATTGCATGCTGCCGACACAGCAGTAAGCCTCCAAGAGTGTTGCCTTACGTCTGTTTTCAATGGAAGGTCAACAAGATGTGAAAAGGAGGATGCCTACATGACGAACAGGAACAAAACGTGTAAGGAAAATGGGTGATGCTTACTCTTTTTCACTGAGGGCTTCTCTTCTATCAGCTTCGGCACAGTGCAATCGCACAGTCCTGGTGTTCAGTCGCAGCTGGTTAACCTGCAAGCCAATCAATTCCAGACAGATGAGCACTCTCTCTGCTGACTCTTTCAATGGCCCTTAAAACCAGTCCTTTGCCACCACCACCCCTGCTCTTCTTTCTGTCCATCCCCTCTCCCTAGCTGATTTGTTTCAATTTTGTTTTAGAAAGACCATTTTTTTTTTTTTTTGGGGGGGGGGGGTTCCTACTCCTTATGAGACTCCCTCCCAACCTCTTCCTCTCTCGTTATTTCTCCCTGGTGCGCCCCGACACCCACAATCCTACCTCAGTGTTTACCACTCAGGATTATCACCCTCCTACCATCTCAGCGGGGAAGACCTGACCGGACAGTGGTTGTAGGCACCAGGGCTAATGATTGAAGCATTTAAATGAGCGCTGTCATACGGGTACTTCAAACGCTAGGCATAGAAGTTCTTCTACAAGCCCCATAGGTGAACCCATTCCTTTCCCCCAAGCTTTTTTACCCGGGCTCCCCAGTGTATGAATCGAGATGTAGCCTAGATATCACAGGCAGTGTCTAATGGGTCCCCCTAGCCAAGGTCTAACCCACGACATCCTCTGAGTAACCTGGGTCTACCCACCTAGCACAACTATTATTGATTGTTCTGATTGTCTGGTCATATTGTTCGTTATGCGTACTGCTGTTATCGCAATTGCAACCTAGGGTTTCTAGCCTATTATCAGAAGATGTATGGCCACCCTCCGCCCCTCTACCACCTATAGACGTCCCCCTAGACCCCTTGCCTAGGTTGTATGCCATCTGGAGTCCTCATCCAGAAGATGGCAACAACCTGTGGTGACGTTGTTGTGGTCGTACTCTTGTTGTTCTGATTCTTATTGGTTGTATGCCATCTGGAGGTACCCTAGCCTCTGTCATTGGCGGGTCTACGACCACCATCAGTCCCCTTACCTCAGTCATCAACTAGATCCGTCCAGCCATCATGTTGTAAGTTGTAATTACCCGGTTCAGCCCCAGTTTCCATCATCAGTACATACCAGCCCACCATCAGTTTCCTCTTACTTCCAGCATCACCTAGGTCTACTCTGGTCTATTTGTCAATGTGGGAAGCAGGCAATCCCACCACCATCTATCCCTAAAACAGCCCCTACTGCAAGACCCCCCACCCGCCCCCGGGAGTCCTCATCCAGAGCAGCACCGGCCTCAGTCATTGGTAGGTACTAGGTCAGAGCATCCATTACTCTACCTCTGTCGTCAACTACACCTATTCTGGTCAATTCCCAGGGAGGGCCTACATCGGGACTCTCCTACCTAATCCCCCCCGCCTGCATCCTAACTATCTCTGTGCAATGTGATGATCTGCCAGGCCCTACCAGATTCGAAGCCTCGACCTTGTCTATACAGCTCCTAGCTCGAATCCACTGAGATACAATGACAACTGGTCTCTTCATGTGCTGTACTAGACTGGGGGACAAGTACGTTGGATGCCAACCTAACACCAACTACTTGTGTGCGGGGGAGGTTGAGGGCCGACAGAACCGAACCTGCAACCTCCCCATTGGAACGCCACAGCTCTAACCAACTGAGCTACCACGCCGTCCTCACTAGCGAGACCAAAGCAGAGTGAAAGTCACTACATAGCTGATTTCAAAATCTACTTTTGTATTGCTTATGTTTTCCATTCTCCTCCTCCCTTTTCTTCCTTTGTCCTCTCTTGACCTCAACTGGCTAGTTAGTTCTTCTCCTAGCCTTTTCAAAGCGGTTGCATGCATGCAACAGACTATTAAAAAAAAAAAGGAAGGGGGAGGGGGGGGAGGGGGGGGAAGGGGGGGGGGAAGGATTGATGTTATTTCTTTGGGGATCTTCGCAGATCCCGACAGCCAGACACATCATCCAGGTCTCTTTGGACCATCTGAACGTCTGGATTTAGCCGATCAGCCATCTGGTGGATGCCCAAACCTGTCTGAATGTTTCCAAACCTTTCTTTCTTTTTCTTTTAAGGCCGATGGCCTTGAGATATCATCATTGAACTGACCGGCCCCATGTAATTCAGAATGATTTTATTCTCTACATCATCTGAGGGCATCTGGATTCGAACTTGGGTTTGTATTTCAACAGTTCATGGGTGTTCCAACTGAGCTAGGCCCGTTGGTTTTCCAAATGTTTCATCCCACAGGGATCGGCCATTTGTAAAGCATACTCACGTCCCTCCCCATACAGTCCATGTCAATGTCGGTTTCACTGGATGATATAGAGCCGGGTACCATCAAGCAAAGATGTCACATCCTGAGGGGGGCAATTCCAGAGAATTGTGACGTAGATTAGGGTAGGTTTTAGGCCCGGGTACCAACCTGAGCCACTGATAGTTAGCATACCCAGGCCCAAACTTCGAATAGGATTAGCTTCCAGGAGGGTGGGGGGGGAAGGGAGGGAAAGGGAGGGGAAGGGAGGGGGAGAATAAAGAAGGCAACGCAGAAGAAGATGCAGACACTAAAAGAAAAGAGAAATGGGATTATGCACATGGTGCGGTCAACCTCACCAACCTCATGGCACGGCCCCAAGATGAAGAAGACGAAGAAGAAGTGAGGAGCTCGAGCAGCATGACGACGAAGAAGATAGGGCAGAGCGTGCAAACTAGAAAGAAAAACACTGGAAAGCATACGCAATGACCTTTCCCATCC